GTATCTTGCTGGATTAAGCAAAAATTCCTAACTAACATGGTTTTGCAGCCAATCCGAGCTTCAAGTTCATCTGTAAGCTTAGATTAAAGCATGAGGTACGCCTATGCTACGACCTCAGCTCAGACTCAACGAGCTGAACAATAAACTTTTTCCTGGTAGTTTATTTACAAGTGTTTTGAACCAGTTCAACGAAGTTTTGAGAACAACATTGATATTCGTAAGCTGACGAGATTTTCGCTCATTTCAAATGAGTTAGCGAAATGCTCTGACATTAAACATATTGAATTCTGTTCTTTTTCGCGAATGACAAATCGAAATCACCGTCTACTCTGTGGAAAAATCATCCATATTACAACTTTTTTATGAACGCTAAACCAAGCCGAATAAGCAGTTTCATATCGTAATACTCCTTATTGTAGCACTTACACATCGCTTTGATTGAATAGCTAGGCGATGAGCAATTTAGTCACAGCATTCTCACTGTACATTCAACAAAATACTGTGAACTAAGCGAATTTCAGGTCAATTTCGTATGGGAAGTCGATCTCTATAACACTGGCTAATTCAGAGTGCGCAAAAATTCAGCTGAAAATTATAACTCTTGATATCACAGGATCGACTCTATTACACTCGCCATGCTTCAATAAAGCCTAATTTTCTTCTTTAAGCCAAACACGAGGTGTTACATTAATCTTTATTCAACAGCTGACGTTTCGGCAGTTCGCCCTCTGCAAAGCCACTTTTGTATGTGATCTGCTTCCGGTGATCTCCACTTGAATAATTCAGTGGAACACATATAAAAAGCGTCTCTGAAGAAGCCAAACTGACGAAACGTCAGCTGTTGAATAAAGATTTATGTAATACATTGTGTTTGGCTCAAAGAAGAAGATTAAGACTCTTTTGATCTACAAAAACTCATTTATATGGTCATAAGAGAGCGTAATATTGCTCAGATTACTACCACTGACTCAAATGACCATCGTCCTACTACGGGTTTGCAGCAATATTCTTATTAATTCAGATAATAAGTAATTTTCTTAAGTAGTGTAGGTTAGCAAAAAGAGAGACAGCGGTGAATAAACTTCCGACAAGCACTGTTACATGCAAAGTGGTGAAGGAAATATTCCACATCTGTTTCCAGTATCTGTTGCGGATGAGGTAGCACAGCGACTGGTGATGCAGTGTAACAAGAAGCATTGATAAACGTTAGCTCGGGTACCCTCAGGCTTCCAAGATTTATCGCGATCAGCATTGCATGACAATCCATAAGATAAAATCCTCAAGCAGCAGCGGAAAAGAGCCGCGACTGTTCGGAGACCTTCGTGAATTATAAATGAGAGAAAAACGAATCGAAAGCAAGTGCTAGGATTCGCACAGTATGTCTGGTGACAGGCCATGTCTAATGTGAGTTTTTCCAACAATGCATCCATATAAATTTCGATCTGCTTCAAAACGTGCAAACAATGAAATGCAGAGAATTACTGTAGTCGCAGTTATGTTGGAAAACTTTATTCAACAACAGAAATAACAAAGCACTTAAGCCACACTCTCGTCAATGTGGATTCCCTTGAGTATTTCAACCGCTTTAGCTCGTCCAGTAGCTTTCCTTTCTACCAGATCACGACGATCTTTGCCAAGTTTCAAATTTGCTAGGACAACCTGAATTTCAAAACCATGGCCAAACATTCGATAATACAATTATGGTTGCATTCAAGAGATGGAGAAAAAAGAGCTTGTCAGCAACAACTGAACGAGTAATAAGCAGTGTTATACAGCGGACTGAAGTAAAGACTCACAGAAATAAATGGTATATGTGTCACTGAGTGCTAAAGATTCACCGGAAACTTGCTTCATGTACCGGAAGTAGTTTAACCAGACCTCACCTTTGACGGGTGGGCTACTATGTGCACAGTCGAGTCGTTTCCTTTCTCACAAGTGATTTTGTCGACGTGAATAACAAACTTCTTACGACAGCTACGGATTCCGCGCGCAGTGTTTCCACGATGACGTCCTCTCATTAGAATAAGTTCATCATCGACCCGAAAAAAAAACCACGCTCCATCTCCACATATCCTCAAACCGTATAAAAGTTTGTCTCACTATAGAAACTCGATAGTTACCAATAGTCAGTGATCAACACAAAGGATGGCCAGTGCATCTGATACCAGAATTCTTTTATTTCACACCACCCGGCTTCGAATTTTATTGGGCGGATCCCAGTATTTTTAGCACTCGATTCGTCTCCTTGCAATCATCGTTTGCTTGAGAATTTCGTTTTCCTCATGGCTGTCGTAGAATATTGCTTAGGTAGATCTCTTTGCAATGTCGCGAAGAGCAAGGCTAAGGCGTTCCTTAGGGCGCTCATTGACTGATCAGCGCAGAGGGTCGCCGGAGATCGACCCTCCACTGAGCGTCACTAACCACTCGGCCATCGTTCCCCCATCTTCCCAGATACCAGAGCACGAAATACTATTCAAGAAAGGACTACTAACCGAATGGGTATAAACCGGATTCCATGTTCAGCACGGAGCTCCATAGCTGCGCAGATATAACACGCTTTCGTTCGTGTGAGGGAGCATTAAAATGCTGCTTACGATTTTTGCCACAATCCCTGGATACCACCGTATTGAACTTTATCTTCTATACACTAAAAACACGAAACTAACATTGCCGCATGCGTAGCGAAGAATATGATCAGTAATATTACTATTAGACGAAGGAACATAAAGCAGAAAGGATAAAGCGTTTGGTTTCATCAGTCTCTGAGAAATAAGCCAAGTATTCGTCATCTACTGGAATGATAAGATACTCCCAGACTTCTTCGTTTTTGTTGGCTATTTTCATGCATTGAATTATTTGTCCTTTATTGTCGTTTGGAGCAGCTTCTTGCGGTTATTTTCGATATATAACACTAATGCATTTATTTTGAGATGGAATTGTCTCGAGAGCAAAAACGACTGTTGATGCTACACGAGTATCTTCTGAGTTCGAGTAATGCTGAGACTTACCGCCGGATTAACGAGGCCTAGGGTGACGGAACAGGAGAACCGCAGTTTATGATCGCTTCATTTAATTCAAGGTTGGAGATGGAGATTTGATGCACTATCATAAGTTGGAAAGTTTTTGATAGTCGAAAAAGCAGGTTAAACTTGAACAAAAACGGAAAAGTCCGGAAAAATTCTAGCCGACGCAGTATCTCTGAGTTCTCTATAGCCCACAAAATAATGGAACGAAGTTTCTTCCACAGTTCTATTGATTGGAAAAAAATTTTAAGAGATTTTTCGTTTATACGTAAGCTTATCCCATTTTTTCGACAAAAAAGCAACAAATGCGTTACCAAAGTACTTCCTTTCAACTGCGATCACCCTCCCACTTTTCCGGCAGTTTCGTGATTCCCTGGCGGTAAATTGTCGGCCAGCATGCGAGGCGTCAATGACGGAGACGCCTCAACTGCATTCAGAACAGCTCACCGGTTAACTTCTTGTGGACGGCCTGCTCTCTGCTTGTGGGTCAAATCTCCATTTCCAGCCTTGAATTGTCGAAACTATCAAAACCTGCTGTTCTCCTAAGTGCTCCGTCATCCAGGCTTCGTTAATCCAGCGGGAAGCCTCAGTAGCACTTGAACCCACAGGATGTAGCATCAACGATCGTTCTTGCTCTCAGGAAAAATCCATCTGAGAACAAATGTATCACCTGTCGTCCCGTTGATCGTCGAGTGACTCGAGCGGGTTCCAGCAACACTTCCATTTTTCCCTATCGCGTGCAAGAGTAGCCCAGTGGGTCCTCCTCGCTGCAGGGATTCGCTGAGCATCACATTTTTCTTCGATGCTTTCGGTGAAGAAATCGGACCATCGGGTCCGTGGTCTTCCTGTATAGCGCTTGCTGTCCCGAGGAAACCAGTTTTTAACGGCTCTCGTCCATCGGTTGTCGTTGAAGCGCATAACGTGTCCGGCCCACCTTATTTTCGACGATGTAACAAATGTAATTAATAATAATTCATGATAATAAATGATTTTCGATAATGTAACAAATGTGAAGTGTAATATATAAAAATAACTGCAAGAAGCTGCTCTAAACAACAGTACGAAAAAAAACTCGAATGCGTGAAAAATAACCAACAAAAAAAGAAGTCAAGGAAATTTTTGCCAACCTAAAAACATCCCCTGAGGTAATTGAACGGGTATTTGGTCTTCGAAGTAACTCGTTGCGGCCTGCCGATATATCAAGTCAGTGCTGCTGTACTCTCAGACAAGTCATGTTCCTACTCACCTAGCCCGGAGGGATGAAAGGCTTCATGAGCCTTGAGTGCGGGATCGAACCATCAACCGTCAATTATCCGGCCGTGTGTGTCTCGCGGTGCACCCCAAACTATTGCGCCACGCACGCACACAATAGAAGAAATATAAAATAAGATGAGAAATAGACGAATCCATAGGAATTAACGATACATGAATGAGAGAGATTTAGGTGGATAAAACACGCGAAAGTGGTAGGTGCCGTCAATGCTAGTAGCATACTATACATGTTTCTTGCTCGTTGTAGCTCCACCATCTGTTGATACCTTGCGGTCCTCTAGCACTGATTGAAAGTGTTTGTAAACCTTACTCGTTACCTCCACTGTGGAAGCACTAGAAGATATGAAGCCTGATGTAAACGATCGCGACTATATGTACAAATTCATAATTGCGTAGGTATCGACTGATTCTAACGATTGGTTAATAATCTGCTGACTTTTGGCTATGCCTGGTTAAATATCCACGTTTCTCGGCCATTTTTTCCCAAACTATTCTCGCTTCCTTCTTCTTTTTCTCTTCTCCTTTTCCTTTTTTTTCCGTTCTCTTTTATTTCGTTTCTATTTTTTCTTCTTTATGCTTTTTTTGACTTCCTTCACACACGTTCAAACTATTTCCTACTCATGACTTCTAATGTTTTTACTGCATTTTTCCCAATGTTGTGATGTTGCAAATAAACCTAAGAGAACTGAATGGTGGACAAAAATTGGACCTCAATCAGGGGTTGAACCCGCGTTTCGCCTTTGCCAGGAGCGCGTGCTACCACTACATCGACGAGGCCACAGCTCACCCAGCTCTCATTCTTCAAAATTTTCAACGAGCGGAGAACTGCGCCATATAGAGATTAATTCTTTAAATTGTCTTTCGGTGTAGAATTTCCTGATATCCAGTTTTTTGGCGTATTTCTCCAAGACCAATTGAGCCTTCCCATTGATTCTGTTCAGATTGATGAGTTCACCTGAAGTCTTAATGAGTCTTTATTAGCGTGCCTAATGCTGCCGCGTTGATTCGCTTCATCCCAAAAGCCACGATGGTTTTTGTCGAATGTCTAAAGCACGTTAACTCCTATCGATATTCCTTTTCGTAGTCGTCGTCGCATCGAGACGAATAGAGTAGGGTGAGGGTGGTAGAACGAATCTCACGAAAAGTCTCGTATTATCTCGTTAGTAGGGAAGGCTATGTTGACCAGTCATCTAAGGTTATTGAGTGGTATGCAGAACATCTGATTTCACACGGGAGTTGAACTCGCGTTTTACCCATGCGGGGCCGCCCGTGCTACCATTACACCACATAAGTCGAATTTCTGTTCACCATTAAATAAACTCTTAGTTTTACCCCAGTTTTGGACTTTTTCTAATTCATGCTTCTTCACTCGTATGTTTGCTATTCTAAGGCAGTTATGTTACGATGGACATCAGTAGTTGGCTCTATCTCTTGCACAAGCTATCGGATGTGCCGCTCAACCACCGCCACCGTCTGATAAGCTGTTCCGTCTTGTGTCGATCGCAAAACAATTCGTTGACGACCCAGAATCGAAGGAGAAACAAGCAGATATATTTGCAGATGGGTAAGGACTCGTAGAGTTTCTTTTCTTCTACAGAAAATTCTAGAAGTCTAATGTTCTTGGAAGCAAGGACGTTCAACCTTTTAAACATGAGCAAAAGGGTAATAATAGGTATGGCAACATCGAGTTTAGGTTAATTTTTCCTCTTTCATATATCTCAATCATGTTAATGGTAAGACGAGATTCACGTGTTAAGGACAATATGGGCATAATGGTGTCTGGGAATGTTGAATGATATGCGGAACGTTCTACCAGTCACAACGGTGTCTATTGGTCCGTGTCCATTGGGTTGGTGCAAAATAGTTGCGGTGTCGCCTAGGTGTCGAACTGGAGTTACTTTTGCACAGTCAGCATCCTTTCCACTCTTAAATGAATATGAAATAGTTAGTAGGTTGGACATTACTAGTAGTAAGACATAGAGCGAGAAATGCGTATTAGAATGATGCATAGCTACTCTATACATAAAAGTGTATTCCAATATAAAAGTTTTTTAACCGCGCCATGCATTAGATAGTCAATCGGAAATCGATCAATATTGGAAGTATATGGCCTGGGAGGTCACTCTCTGCATTTGTAATTTACGGAAAATTAATTGTGGAAATCCCACATGGGAATTTCACTAACAGGAGCGCCGTGGCCGAGTGGTTGTAGTGCTCGTCGCGGCGCGCGTGGAGTCGAGCCCCACCATCCCAACACTCTCCGGCAGTCAACAAGAACACCTTATGGAACGCCACAGCTAGTCTATCTTCGAGATCGCCAGGAGACGCGCCCAACCAGTATTCTACGCCGTTCAAGAGGGATAAAAACGAATTGAATGCTAGATGTAATGGGATCCGTACAATAAAAATTGTGATAACGGGTCGTGTAAATAAATAAAAAATAATTAAATAAAAGTAAAAATAAAAAATTTCACTAACAAGTAACTGCTATTCCGTTTTAATCGCTGTGATTACTGCTCAGAATGTACGGATGTGAATCTACTAGATTTGATTCAACATAAGTTGCAAATGCTTTCAAGTGCTGACACCCATATAGCACTAGCATACGTATGCATCTGCATATACATGCATATATATGCGCATGTGTATATACGTGTATGTGTATATATGCATGTACAAGTATATATATATACGTATATACATGTGCATATGTATACATAATGGACCATTTTAGCATAACATGTAGGACCATACCTACCGTTTTTGACGATGGAATGATGAAGCAAAGTTTCTTCTAAAATCCTGCTATGTTCACAACCTCTCAGAGTTTCTATTTATTGAAAAGTTGCTTATTTAGTGCCAAAAAAAAATTTAAGAAGCTTGCAGCCGACAAAAAATTGTTTTTGTCGCTTGTAGGTATAGGCGACTCGTCTACCAAGAATCCAGATTCCTTCAATTGTAATCCAACCGAAGGATCGATTAACTCCAAGAATTTTGTCCTTCTCTTCCGAGGTGATAAGTTTTCTTGATAACATCTTGTATTATTCAGTTTGATGTTCTTTCTGCTGGTTTGGATCTCGAATTTGATGCTGATCTTATTCCTGCATCGGCAGAACCTTGTAATTATGAAACCGTATATCTCACATCTCACATATCTGCCTGTCGAACGGCATCTTTTAACAATGATTGTTTGTTTCGTTTTATAGAATGACTTTTCATTTCTTTCTGGTCCGTTGCACTAACTTAAATACACAGACGTAGAGGAGACTTCGCAGTTTTTTTTGCTTCTAAATATATGTTATAGACAAGAATTCCTGTTCAACCGATTGTTTTGGGCAGTAATATGATGTTGTAGCTATGTATTCAATAATGCTGAGTGATATGCAAAGTGTGAAGTGTGGGCGGGAATGAAACCTGCGTCTCGCTATCACCGGGACGCATTTTAACTACTGCATTATTAGGGATCCTGTTCTGCTACTATCCTTTGTGAAAATGCGAGGTACCGTTTCTGTCATTAACCAACCGTCAACGGTTTGTCTGATGGTCAGATAAGGAAGGAAAAGAATGGAACACTAGTTTGATCCCTTCCTTATGTTCAAAGTTTTGCGTATCCCTCAGCATTTCTAGATATTTCTGGTTTTGTTTCGCTAAAACAGGCAATAAGCTTCAAAGATATAAAAATTTTCAACAAGGAGACGTAATATTGCTCTGCTGTACATTACAATGGTTTATTTCTAGTCAAAAAACTTTACGGCAATTTTCAGAAGCTCTCGACTATCTCACGTTTCTTTTCTTTGGCTTATATCATATATCATCTCAATCCACAAATTTGATTGAAGAAGAGCACGACATTTGGTATGATCTTTATAGTTACTAGGAATTTTTTGTAGAACAGTTGTTTATCACATCATTTTGAATCTGCGTGATAAATACAATTGTGGTGCTAATCGTTATCGTTACTTCAGGTACGCTTCACATCCACGATATTTTGCTTAGAATACTTAGAAGAATAAAGTTGCCTCTAAGATTGAGAAGTTTTTCAAAAAATGTTAGTGTTTCTACGATCTCTTGTCAAGTATTTTGTTTGAATCAAAAAGAGTATTCTCACTTTGAAAGTAAAATTTGAGCAAAATTACTTATGGTAATTACTACTTGTCATTTCAGTATAGTTTGAGCACAATAAAATTTTTGCATACACAATTTACGCGAGTTAATTGTTTTGATACTACGCTCCAGGCTCATCAAGCCTTCCATTCTACGAGGTGACAAAGTAATACCCTCTGTATGGTCGAAATGCATGACACAGAAAATAATTGGTGCCGAAAGATTTGTGCACTCTCCTCCGTGCATATATTAGTCTATTTACCACCGAAAAATTCCTATTTGGCAACTCCTGTCTGTACTCAGCTCCTCTGAGCACTAATCGATGCATTTGTGCACATTAAAATCTTTGGATTGAATTTTGTTAGAATGTTCTTATCTACACTATTTGTATGCATCTTTTGTTATGCGAATTAGAATTGGTGGGTACAAATTGTCAAATGAGAAACTCGTAAGCAATTCTGCGCACTAAGGGAATTCGTGATGCAGCATCATCTGTCTACTATCTACTCGATATGCATACACAAGCATAGATTACGTACTGTACGTATCACTAATATTGTTAACGGGTAAGCAGTAAAATATCAAGCAAGTGGTATTTGTTGTTGACTCATATGACGTATAATACGTGACGTGAATTAATTTTTGTCTGTATTTTTGAAAGTAAGGAAACTGAGCATCAAATAGACTAGCAATTCAATTGAAGCGACACGGAGCTTCTTCTATAACTATATTTAGCACTCACAAAGTTCTCAAGAAAGGTGAAATTAGGAGGTTTAATAGAGCAATTTTTCTAAGGAGTAACTCTGTTATTTTTAATTTGAACTGATTATTATGTATGTGGTTTATTGAGATATTATGTTGAAAGCAGAATCGTTAGTCTGTAGAGAGTAATTGGTTTGTAATACATTGTTTCCTAACAATAAATCTCTAGCAGAAATCATATTTCATGTTTGTTTGGGCATGGAAAGTTCTGTAATTTTTTATTTCTGAATATTTCGTTATGATTTCCCTATAAGAAGTTGTAGTCCACTTTCAATTTGACACCGGATTCAAAGCAAAAGACGATTTTTGTCTACTCTGCTTACATCGACTAGCGATGAGCTTTACATTGTCGTCCAAAAGAAGATGGTCATTGAGAGTTGGTAAAAATTTTGTAGTCAAAATATCTGTAACATACCGTTTGTAATGATTTAGATTTGCTTCCACACCAATATTTCGTGAACTTAATTGATTGAACGGATTTGGATTCGTGAACGGATTCGAGATGACGGTCCTTCACACCATCCTTACGGATTTCAATCCCTCAGCACAGTGCAAAAGGTTGTGATCATTTATTCTCTCTAAGCTATTCGTATCTCATTTATAGATTTTCTAGCATGCCCTTCTTAGCTACTGTACTTTGTACAATTTATCTAGGCTGGCGTTTTCAATCCATATGCATCAGATCCAGGCGACTAGCAGCGTTTTCATACTTACTTTCCATGATTAAATGCTGCAGTGTTCTAGTCGACGTCCACAATGGGTAAAAATTTCTTTTGTAGGTCTCAGTTCAGTCTACCTTTCTCTCTCGTATGTCTTCTTTCTTTATTTATTCGTATTAACCTTGACACTTCCTATGAGCCAGGTTCTTGAAGTTCTTTATTTGGTGGGAGGATTGTTTCAATGGTCAAGCAT